GTTCTAAAATTTTTTTTGTAATATGCTTCGTTTCCCGAGTGTTACCTTAACAATTTGAAATAGCAGCAAATTCCTCCAATTTTCATATTTTCGTATTTTTCTCGATATTGACGCATCTAAGAGCAAAAGTGCAAGAGAGCAATATTGTTTAGATTAAAATTTGCTACAATTTTTGTTGTAAAAGTTTTTTTATAACGTGCTCTATTTCCCGAGTGTTATCATTGACAACTCGGAATAGCAACAATATTTATCCAATTTTCATACTTTCGTACTTTTCTGGCTATTGACGCATTTCAAAGCAAAAGTACAAATGAGCAATATTGTTAGGAATAAAATTTGCTACAATTTTTTTTTTCTAAAACCCTTTTTACGACATACTCCTTTTCCAGGGTGTTACCATTAACAGCTTATAAAATAACAAAATTCATCAAATTTTCATATTTTTTTCGATTCTATTCATCTAAGAGCAAAAGTGCAAGAGAGCAATATTGTTTAGACTAAAATTTGCTACAACTTTTATTGTAAAAGTTTTTTTATAACGTGCTTCATTTCCCGATTAACAACTTGAAAAAGCAACAATGCATCCAATTTTCATTCTCTCGTATTTTTCTTGATATTGACGCATCTAAAAACAAAAGAGCAACAGAACAATATTGTTCCAAATTAAATTTGCAATAATTATTGATCTAAAAGTTTTTTTGTAATATGCTTCCTTTCTCGAGTGTTACCATTAACAACTTGAAATAGCAACAAATTCATCCAATCTTCATATTTTCGTATTTATCTCGATATTGACGCATCTGAGAGCAAAAGTGAATGAGAGCAATATTGTTCTAAATTAATTTTGCAATAATTATTGTTCTAAAATTTTTTTTGTAATATGCTTCGTTTCCCGAATGTTATCATTAACAACTTGAAATAGCAACAAATTCATCCAATTTTCATATTTTCGTATCTTTCTCGATATTGACGCATCTGAGAGCAAAAGTGAAAGAGAGCAATATTGTTCTAAATTAAATTTGCAATAATTATTGTTCTAAATTTTTTTTTGTAATATGTTTCATTTCCCGAGTGATACCATTAACAACTTGACATAGCAACAAATTCATCCAATTTTCATATTTTCGTATTTATTTCGATATTAACGCATCTGAGAGCAAAAGTGAATGAGAGCAATATTGTTCTAAATTAAATTTGCAATAATTATTGTTCTAAAATTTTTTTTGTAATATGCTTCGTTTCCCGAGTGTTACCATTAACAACTTGAAATAGCAACAAATTCATCCAATTTTCATATTTTCGTATCTTTCTCGATATTGACGGATTTGAGAGCAAAAGTGCAACTGAGCAATATTGTTAAGCTAGGTATCCACTTGAGAGAAACTTTTGAGAGTAACTCCCGATATCTACTCTCAGCTGTGTGTCCACTTGAGACTGTTTTAGCTCTCCGAGAGCTTCTATAAAACTTCCAAGAGGTTTCTCTCAAACAAACAGAAAAAATAAAAAGAAGCTGTTGGGTGAAACCATGGATTTGGCGTAGATTAGAGCTGGGTGTCAACAAATATCAACACTCGTTGTCAAATTGTTAGTTATTTGGCAAACTGGATTCACAAAAAAAAGAACTCGATTGATAGTTGCTTAATAGTAGCTTTAGTAACTTAAATGCCTTAAACTAAATTGCTGAAAAAGACTAGATATTGCTGGCAGAAGACTAAATATTACTAATCAAAGACTAGATGTTGCAAATGAAGCAGATTCTTCTTACAGAAAACTTCACATTTCTACCAGAAGACGAAATACTGTTGGTAGAAGACTAGATATTGCTGCAAAAGACTAGATATTGCTGGCAGAAGACTAAGTACTGCTAGTGAAAGACTAGATATTGCAAATGAAGCACATCTTTCTTACAGAAGACTACGCACTACTACTAAAAATCCAAATACTGTTAGCATAAGACTTAATTTTACTGTCAGAAGACCAAATTATGTTGTCAGAAGATTAGATATTACCAATGGTACAAATTCAGTTTAAATTTCTGCCCAATACTTGTTAAAATTGCATCCCTCGCTTCCCGATTTCTATGTTCTTTAGATTTGGTATTCCAAAGAACTGAATTTTCTTCGTACACTTCAATTAATTCAAATATTTCTTCACCATTTTCTTTTATGTGTTATCTTTAGCAAAATTCGAACCGTGTTCGTTTTTTGACAACAACTTGAAATAGCAACAAATTCATCCAATTTTCATATTTTCGTATTTTTCTCGATATTGACGTATCTGAGAGCAAAAGTGAAAGAGAGCAATATTGTTAAGGATTAAATTTACTACAACTTTTGTTGAAAATGTTTTTTTATAACATACTCCATTTCCAGAATGTTACCAGCAACAACTAGTAAAATAACGAAATTCATCAAATTTTCATATTTTTCGCAATTCTATGCATCTGAGAGCAAAAATGCAAGAGAGCAATAGTGCTAAGAATAAAATTAGGTACAACATTCGTTTCAAAAGTTTTTTTGTAATATGCTCCATTTCCGGAGTGTTATCACTGACAACATGAAATAGCAACAAATTTATTGAATTTTCATATTTTCGAATATATCTCGATATTGACGTATCTGAGAGCAAAAGTAAAAGAGAGCAATATTGTTAAGAATTAAATTTGCTACAACTTTTGTTGTAAAAGTTTTTTTATAACATGCTCAAGAAGAACTTCTTATTAGTAGTAAGTTCGTCCTTGTACTAATTAATACTTAAGATTTATAACAAATTCTTTAAAATTTTATTAATGAAAATTTTTTGAATACAAATAGTAATTCATTCGTCATTCTTGATGACAATGCGGGTGAAAGCATAAAAATAGTGGTAATTACTCAAGATAACTCGAACGCTATCAAGTCAACATTAAGTGGTTTTGGTGCGATAGTTTTCTAACAGTTCGCTTATTTTTTTATTGTTGCCAACGGGGATTTGTCGCTAATAATATATTTGTAACATAGTTATAAAACGAATGCAAAAAAAAATCGGGGATATTAATACGTAGATTTGAGTCGAGGTCAAGAATAATATTGCGTGCGTATCGGGACCTTATACGTTTTGAATTACCATGAAAGGTCCTAAGATGTCGCGGTCAGGTACGAAATAAATTAAACGAAAAGACTTTTATTCAATATTAAGGTATAACGCTATAAACATTTAAATAATGTTTGGGGTTTTTGTAATTTTTGGGGGTATCAAATTTGAGTTATCCAAAAACGATTGAAGTTGCAAAAAGAAGAAAGTCACATTGACCTAGCCCTACTTACAGAAACCAAAATGAAGAAACAAATACAGAAACTGAGATACCATACAAAGACAAGGCTTTCAAACCACAAATGCCAGAAGAGGTTCAATTGTATTAAATGTAGAGAAAGAGTATGCTAAATATTAAGTTTCCCTGAATGGCACCCCTTAATTAATTATACAACACGCAATGTGACCTTTGATTTTATTTCGGTTGGGTTGGGTTCATTTTGAGTGAACGATTACAGAATTAAAGAATGAAGACATAATTAATTTGAAAAATTTTTTATATACAGGGTGATTCACATAAGAACCGACACAGAGCAGGGACATGTAGAGGACAATAAATTAAGATGATTTAACGTAACTTACCTCTATACTAAGTTGTACACCTCAGGAGTTATAGGCCTTCAAAGTTGGCTCTTAAATTTTTAAAAAGTTCAATATCTTCGTAATACATTAAGCTAGAAAAACCAAATTTGGTATACGTTATGAGTGTACCAAGGGTATTAATTGGTAGCAAATTGAACTCAATTGAGGCATTTCAAAGGGTTGATTAAGGGTGATGGTACCCTAAATTTTGACAGATTTTTTTAACCTTTTGGCGGATTTAATACATTACTACTTCATTTCATGTGGAATTTAATTCTAAAACTTTTCTTACTCTTATTATTTTTTAAAAAACTTTGTCGTTTTCATAAAAAACTTAAATAACTAAAGACACGTATTTCGTAATGTTACTTAAAATAAGAGAAAATTTAGTAGTCGGCTATGAAATTGTACGTCAAACTTGACAAATAGGTTATAAAGTTATTTGACGACAAGGTTTTCTCCATCTTTTCTCCATCACCTTTCATTCTTGAGTTATGATCGATTTTAACACCAAAAGTACCCAATTTTGACATTTTGGGGATTTTCTCTTTATCACCTGAAAATCATTACATCTAAACTAAATTTGTTTATGGATGATGTCTTCTTAGTTGACAATAAACAACTTATTCCTAAAAAACTTTTCTCCATCACCTTTCATCCTTGAGTTATGATCAATTTTAATACCAAAAGTACTCAATTTTGATATTTCGGTGATTTTCTCTTTTTATCATTAGAAAATCATTATAACTAAACCAAATCTGTTTATGAGTAATGTCCTTTTAGTTCATAATAAACAATTTATTTCAAATAAACTTTTCTCCATCACCTTTAATTTTTGAGTTATGATCTATTTTAATACCAAAAGTACTCAATTTTGACATTTTGGTGATTTTCTACTTGTCCTCTACATGTCCCTGCTCTGTGTCGGTTCTTATGTGAATCACCCTGTATAGGTCACTATGTCAATCCATAAATATTTTTAATCTCTCCCTTCTTATACTTACACAAAATCCTAGGCTTTGTGAAATCGATACCTTTTCAACAACATAAACATTACGCAATAAATTTAAATATAACCTTTATTTTTATTTTTATCAAACAAAAACCTTATTACATAGATATTTTACGGAACCACATTAAAAGCTAATTCTTTTTAATAATTTTTTTTCTTTCTTTTTGTGTACTCGTGTTTCTCTTGGGTTTTTTTACCGCGTGTCTTCTCACCCACACCACACACGTACGAGAATCGATCGATTTTCCAGGGGCTACAGCGCAAATACAATTTTGCTTTCTAGATTCTAGTACGGTAAGGTTCAGTCAAACGTGAACCTTCAATCGAAACGGCTCACAACAACATTTTAAATTACATTCTTTTTTGTCACTGATTGCGGTATCAGGTAACAAATATAAAGAAGCACCTGCACTAACAATAAGTTTTTACTTATCACACTTTTAAACACATTATGTGATTCTATTTTTTAATTATTTAGTAAAGATTCTATTTTGGTCGTTTTGATTTAATTAGAATTTTTGTTGCATGTTAATTTTTATCTTGATTTTTCTTTTACGTTGATGAATGAGATTTTTATTTTGGGTTGGATTTAATTTGCGTAAGTGAAAGTACTCCAATTTTATTTATTTTTGCGGATTTTATTTAAAGTGTCGATTAAATCAGTACAACTTTATCGACGTTTTCTAAAAACGTTTCCATGTTCCCAAATAATAACCGAACCCATCCCTGTGATGATCGTGCTTAGGAACAATGCAGCTTTTGCACGAAATTTAAAAGCTCGCCTAGAGGAGGCGCCTTTAGTAACACGCTCACTCGTTAACATCACCGATACGAATCGGTTTATGTTTCGTTATAGGATTTTGGTGTTAAATTAAAAAAAAATCGATTTCACAACATCAAAAAAGATTCAGCTTGCAAATTAGATTAGGTTAAAATCGTTAAATTAAAAATAGTTTCTCACTTTAGTGTGTAGTTAAAAGAAAACACGTAATTTATATTTTATTATCCCGGATCCATATATCGATTATCTTGGTAGATATTTCCGCTGCGTTCTACGTCACGTAATAAGGTAATCCGTATGCGAAATGTCCCAACCCAGCACCGTCTTAAATGGGCCCAGCGATGGTAACCAAACGGCACAGACGACGATGGTAAGGGGGGTCTTAAAAAGTAGGCTATATTTTTCCGTGTGTCTTGAAAATTTATTGTCGTCGAATCAAAACAAAACTTAAAAAGGGGACAAGTATTTTTATCTAGCACGAAAACTAAATCTATCGATTAAATATCACAAATCGTAATGCCAACTATTAGTAGAGATGTTATATAATGGTTATAACTCAAGTACTAAAACTGATGGAAAAAGGTGATGTGAATAAAAAATATTCGTTATGCTACAAGAAATCAAAATCTATACTTATTTCATCACCAATTTCTAGTGATATGGCATAAATCACAAAATATCAAAATTTGGCGATCCTTTTTAATAAAATCAAGTATAGCGTAGGTACTAATACTGATGGAGAAAGATGTTGTGGATAAAAAATATTCCTAATGCATCAAGAAATCATAATCCATATTTAGTTCATATTTATCTATCACCAGTTTTTAGTGATATGGCATAAATCAAAAAATGTCAAAATTTGACGATTTTTCTTAATAAAATTAAATATAGTGTAGGTACTAAAACTGATGGAGAAAGATGTTGTGGATGAAAAATATTATTAATGCATCAAGAAATCATAATCCATAATTATTTCATATTTATCTATCACCAGTTTTCTAGTGATGTAGCATAAATCACAAAATGTCAAAATTGGACGATTTCTCTTAGTAAAATCAACTATAAATCAAGTATTAAAACTGATGGAGAAAGACGTTATGAACAAAAAATATTCCTAATGCATCAAGAAATCATAATTCATAATTATTTCATATTTATCTATCATCAGCTTCTAGTGATACAGCATAAATCACGAAATGTCAAAATTGGACGATTTTTCTTATAAAATCAACTATAAACTGATGGAGAAGGACGGTATGGATAAAAAATATTCCTAATATATCAAGAAATCATAATCCATAATTATTTCATATTTATCTATCACCAGTTTTCTAGTGATATGGCATAAATCACAAAATGTCAAAATTGGACGATTTGTGTTAATAAAATCAACTACAACCGAAGTACTAAAACTGATGGAGAAAGACGTTATGAACAAAAAATATTCTTAATGCTTCAACAAATCATAATCCATAATTATTTCATATTTATCTGTCATCAGCTTCTAGTGATGCAGCATAAATCACGAAAAATCAAAATTGGACGACTTTTCTTATTAAAATCAACTATAACTCAAGTACTAAAACTGATGGAGAAAGACGTTGTGAATAAAAACTATTCCTAATGCATCAAAAAATCATAATCCATAATTATTTCATATTTATCTATCACCAGTTTTCTAGTGATATGGCATAAATCACAAAATGTCAAAATTGGACGATTTGTGTTAATAAAATCAACTACAACCTAAGTACTAAAACTGATGGAGAAAGACGTTACGAACAAAAAATATTCTTAATGATTCAAGAAATCATAATCCATAATTATTTCATATTTATCTATCATCAGCTTCTAGTGATGCAGCATAAATCACGAAAAATCAAAATTGGACGATTTGTCTTAATAAAATCAACTACAACCTAAGTACTAAAACTGATGGAGAAAGACGTTATGAACAAAAAATATTCTTAATGCTTCAAAAAATCATAATCCATAATTATTTCATATTTATCTATCATCAGCTTCTAGTGATGCAGGATAAATCATGAAAAATCAAAATTGGACGATTTTTCTTATTAAAATCAATTATAACTCAAGTACTAAAACTGATGGAGAAAGACGTTGTGAATAAAAGCTATTCCTAATGCATCAAAAAATCATAATCCATAATTATTTCATATTTATCTATCACCAGTTTTCTCGTGATATGGCATAAATCACAAAATGTCAAAATTGGACGATTTCTCTTCATAAAATCAACTATAACCTAAGTACTAAAACAGATGGAGAAAGACGTTATGAACAAAAAATATTCCTAATGCATCAAAAAATCATAATCCATAATTATTTCATATTTATCTGTCATCAGCTTCTAGTGATGCAGCATAAATCACGAAATGTCAAAATTGGACGATTTTTCTTATTAAAATCAACTATAACCTAAATACTAAAACTGATGGAGCAAGACGTTATGAACAAAAAATATTCCTAACGCATCAAGAAATCATAATCCATAATTATTTCATATTTATCTATCACCAGTTTCCTAGTGATATGGCATAAATCACAAAATGTCAAAATTGGACGATTTTTCTTATTAAAATCAACTATAACCTAAGTACTAAAACTGGTGGAGAAAGACGTTATGAACAAAAAATATTCCTAACGCATCAAGAAATCATAATCCATAATTATTTCATATTTATCTATCATTGGCTTCTAGTGATGCAGCATGAATCACAAAATGTCAAAATTGATCGATGCTTCTTGATAAAATCAATTATAACACAAGTACTAAACCTGATGGAGAAAGCCGGTATGGATAAAAAATATTCCTAATATATCAAGAAATCATAATCCATAATTATGTCATATTTATCTATCACCAGTTTTCTAGTGATATGGCATAAATCACAAAATGTCAAAATTGGACGATTTTTTTTATTAAAATCAACTATAACCTAAGTACTAAAACTGATGGAGAAAGACGTTATGAACAAAAAATATTCTTAATGCATCAAGAAATCATAATCCATAATTATTTCATATTTATCTATCACCAGTTTTCTAGTGATATGGCATAAATCACAAAATATCAAAATTGGACTATTTCTCTTAATAAAAGCAACTATAACCTACGTACTAAAACTGATGGAGAAAGACGTTAGGAACAAAAAATATTCTTAATGCATCAAGAAATCATAATCCATAATTATTTCATATTTATCTACCACCAGTTTTCTAGTGATATGACATAAATCACAAAATGTCAAAATTGGACGATTTTTTTTAATAAAATCAACTATAACCTAAGTACTAAAATTGATGGAGAAAGACGTTATGAACAAAAAATATTCCTAACGCATCAAGAAATCATAATCCATAATTATTTCATATTTATCTATCACCAGTTTCCTAGTGATATGGCATAAATCACAAAATGTCAAAATTGGACGATTTCTCTTAATAAAATCAACTATAATCTAAGTACTAAAACTGATGGAGAAAGACGTTATGAACAAAAAATGTTCCTAATGCTTCAAGAAATCATAATCCATAATTATATCATATTTATCTATCACCAGTTTTCTAGTGATATGACATAAATCACGAAATGTCAAAATTGGACGATTTTTCTTATTAAAATCAACTATAACCTAAGTACTAAAACTGGTGGAGAAAGACGTTATGAACAAAAAATATTCCTAACGCATCAAGAAATCATAATCCATAATTATTTCATATTTATCTATCACCAGTTTCCTAGTGATATGGCATAAATCACAAAATGTCAAAATTGGACGATTTTTCTTAATAAAATCAACTATAACTTAAGTACTAAAACTGATGGAGAAAGACGTTATGAACAAAAAATATTCCTAATACTTCCAGGAATCATAATCCACAATTATTTCATATTTATCTATCATCAGCTTCTAGTGATGCAGCATAAATTACGAAATGTCAAAATTGGACGATTTTTCTTATTAAAATCAACTATAACTCAAGTACTAAAACTGATGGAGAAAAACATTGTGAATAAAAACTATTCCTAATGCATCAAAGAATCGTAATCCATAATTATTTCATATTTATCTATCACCAGTTTCTAGTGATATGGCATAAATCACAAAATGTCAAAATTGGACGATGTCTCTTAATAAAATCAACTATAACCTAAGTACTAAAACTGTTGGAAAAAGACGTTATGAACAAAAAATATTCCTAATGCTTCAAGAAATCATAATCCATAATTATTTCATATTTATCTATCATTGGCTTCTAGTGATGCAGCATAAATCACAAAATGTCAAAATTGATCGATGTTTCTTAATAAAATCAACTATAACTCAAGTACTAAAACTGATGGAGAAAAACGTTATGGATCAAAAATATTCCTAATGCATCAATAAATCATAATCCATAATTATTTCATATTTATCTATCATTGGCTTCTAGTGATGCAGCATAAATCACAAAATGTCAAAATTGATCGATGTTTCTTGATAAAATCAACTACAACACAAGTACTAAAACTGATGGAGAAAGACGGTATCGATAAAAAATATTCCTAATATATCAAGAAATCATAATCCATAATTATTTCATATTTATCTATCACCAGTTTTCTAGTGATATGACATAATCACAAAATGTCAAAATTGGACGATTTCTCTTAATAATATCAACTATAACCTAAGTACTAAAACTGATGGAGAAAAACGTTATGGCTACAAAATATTCCTAATGCATCAATGAATCATAATCCATAATTATTTCATATTTATCTATCACCAGCTTCTAGTGATATGGCATAAATCACAAAATTTCAAAATTGGACGATTTTTCTTAATAAAATCAACTATAACACAAGTACTAAAACTGATGGAGAAAAACGTTATAGATAAAAAATATTCCTAATGCATCAACAAATCATAATCCATAATTATTTCATATTTATCTATCATTAGCTTCTAGTGATGCAGCATAAATCACAAAATGTCAAAATTGGACGATTTTTTTTATTAAAATCAACTATAATTCAAGTATTAAAACTGATGGAGAAAGACGGTATGGATAAAAAATATTCCTAATATATCAAGAAATCATAATCCATATTTATTTCATATTTATCTATCACCAGTTTTTAGTGATATGGCACAAATCAAAAAATGTCAAAATTTGACGATTTTTCTTAATAAAATTAAGTATAGCGTAGGTACTAAAGCTGATGGAGAAAGATGTTGTGGATGAAAAATATTATTAATGCATCAAGAAATCATAATCCATAATTATTTCATATTTATCTATCACCAGCTTTCTAGTGATATGGCATAAATCACAAAACGTCAAAATTGGACGATTTTTCTTAATAAAATCAACTATAACTTAAATACTAAAACTGATGGAGAAAGACGTTATGAACAAAAAATATTCCTAATGCTTCCAGGAATCATAATCCACAATTATTTCATATTTATCTATCATCAGCTTCTAGTGATGCAGCATAAATCACGAAATTTCAAAACTGGACAATTTTTCTTATTAAAATCAACTATAACTCAAGTACTAAAACTGATGGAGAAAGACCTTGTGAATAAAAACTATTCCTAATGCATCAATAAATCATAACCCATAATTATTTCATATTTATCTAGCATTGGCTTCTAGTGATGCAACATAAATCACAAAATGTCAAAATTGATCGATGTTTCTTGATAAAATCAACTATAACACAAGTACTAAAACTGATGGAGAAAGACGTTATGAACAAAAAATATTCCTAATATATCAAAAAATCATAATCCATAATTATATCATATTTATCTATCACCAATTTTCTAGTGATATAATAAATTAAAAAACAGCACTTGAACGATGACATTTATTGTAAAAAGCTTAGTTTTCTACCGGTTTCGACGATCAGGAAAACGACGTCAACGAACATAAAATAAAACAGGGGCTCATCAGATTACAATATGAAGGTTCCTTCACAAAACCTATTAATATAACTTAACTTGGAAATGATAAACTGTAAAAACTTTTAGGCGCGCAAATATGTGATTTGAGGTTATATTTCCAGTTGCCAACTTTGCTGTTTAACTTTCCTTCCTGTGCTGTTTTTTAATTCATTTAATTCACACGACGATAAGAAAAATACACAACTCCAACTATTCTAGTGATATGGCAGAAATCACAAAATGTCAAAATTGGACAATTTTTCTTAATCAAATCAACTATAACTCAAGTACTAAAGCTGATGGAGAAGGACGTTGTGAATAAAAACTATTAATAATGCATCAAAAAATCATAATCCATAATTATTTCATATTCATCTGTCATCAGCTTCTAGTGATGCAGCATAAATCACGAAATGTCAAAATTGGACGATTTTTCTTATTAAAATCAACTATAACCTAAATACTAAAACTGATGGAGCAAGACGTTATGAACAAAAAATATTCCTAACGCATCAAGGATTCATAATCCATAATTATTTCATATTTATCTATCACCAGTTTCCTAGTGATATGGCATAAATCACAAAATGTCAAAATTGGACGATTTCTCTTAATAAAATCAACTATAATCTAAGTACTAAAACTGATGGAGAAAGACGTTATGAACAAAAAATGTTCCTAATGCTTCAAGAAATCATAATCCATAATTATATCATATTTATCTATCACCAGTTTTCTAGTGATATGACATAAATCACAAAATGTCAAAATTGGACGATTTTTCTTAATAAAATCAACTATAACCTAAGTACTAAAACTGATGGAGAAAGACGTTATGAACAAAAAATATTCCTAATGCATCAATAAATCATAATCCATAATTATTTCATATTTATCTATCATCAGCTTCTAGTGATACACCATAAATCACGAAATGTCAAAATTGGACGATTTTTCTTATAAAATCAACTATAACTCAAGTACTAAAACTGATGGAGAAGGACGGTATGGATAAAAAATATTCCTAATATATCAAGAAATCATAATCCATAATTATATCATATTTATCTATCACCAGTTTTCTAGTGATATGACATAAATCACAAAATGTCAAAATTGGACGATTTTTCTTAATAAAATCAACTATAACCTAAGTACTAAAACTGATGGAGAAAGACTTTATGGACAAAAAATATTCCTAATGCATCAATAAATCATAATCCATAATTATTTCATATTTATCTATCATTGGCTTCTAGTGATGCAGCATGAATCACATAATGTCAAAATTGATCGATGTTTCTTGATAAAATCAACTATAACACAAGTACTAAAACTGATGGAGAAAAACGGTATGGATAAAAAATATTCCTAATATATCAAGAAATCATAATCCATAATTATTTCATATGTATCTATCACCAGTTTTCTAGTGATATGGCATAAATCACAAAATGTCAAAATTAGACGATTTTTTTTAATAAAATCGACTATAACTTAAGTACTAAAACTGATGGAGAAGATGTTATGAACAAAAAATATTCCTAATGCATCAAGAAATCATTATACAATAGTATACAATGTATACCATACTTAATCTGTAGCTATATGTAATACTAGTTTGAGTACAGTAGTTGTACTCAGTTACTGTTATAATTAAAACCTGGGCTAGTACCTATTTTTTTTTAAATTTATTAACTGTTCCAAGGAACAACATACAAATACTTGTTCCAAAGTATCAGATACAAGTCTCGATTAACGCCTGTAATACCAACCCACTTATCGATTATGTACATAAAAGTTTTTTACGAAATTTAAGGATGAATAATTTAATTCTTAGTAAATAAAAAATTCTTGAATTTTTGTGTATTAAGAACAATAAGATTTTTTTATATTTAAATGTAAGGTCAAACCAACATCAATTCAAGATCCACCTCGACCTCAACTCAATAGAGTCGATAGTCGAGCAAATTTATCTCCAAGAACAGGATATCCCCAACAACAATTTCGCCCAAATCAACAACGTCCACCGTTCCCAGGAACACCACCTCAATTTCCACGACCTCAACTACAAAGAAATCCAAGTTTTGGGCAAGTTAATTCACCACCACCAATCGCCAACATTCGCCCGGGAAGTCCAAACCCAACCGGATTAAGACAACCCCCACCTTTCACTCGACCCCCTTTATCTCCCGGTGCAGGAAGACCTCCAGGTTTATTCCAACAAAAATCCGTACCAAAACCCCCACAAGAAATTATACCAAGAAGTCAAACCCTGGACACCACGACGGAGTTAAACACCGCAAGAAATGCAATGGAGAGTCAAAAAGCGTTGTACGAAGAAGAATCGAAAAATGAGGTTAATAAAAAGTTGTCGAATGAAGGTTTAAATAATACAGGAGTGAAAGTACAAGAAGAAGAAAATTCGACTAAGTTAATTATAAACGAAACGAAGCTAGGTGATAAAGGTGGAGAGGTCGAGAGGGACCAAAAAAGTCCTGCATTTGATGATAAAGGGAAATTGAATGATGAGCAAAAAATTTCTACAGAAAAAGTTAAAATTAAATCACCTATTTTTGATGATGAAAAAGTTGCGTTAGAAAAAATTGATGAAAAAGAGAAACCTAATAAAGCTGAGAAATCAGAAAATTTGGAGAAACCAGAAAAGCCAAAAACTCTTCGTCCGGATAGCAGATCATCTCTTGGACGACCAGAAACATTTAAATCAGGTTAATTCTTCAAAAAAAATTTTAAATCCAAGGTAGTTTGTTCTACTTTTTCAAAACATTCTAAAATTTTCCTTTTGTTCCAGAAGGCGATAACGATAGTGGTGTTGATGAATCAACCCAAGGAAATGTAAGTTATAACAAATAACATAAAGCAACTAAATCATTTCTTTTTAAATATTAGGATCAATCAAGTAACGGAGATCATAATTCTCCACGTAAATCAACAACTGGTAAACCACCATCAAGAAACGCAGCTTCTCCAACTAAAAGTCGATCAGTTTCGAGAGGTTCGAAATCACCCCATGTAAAAACTCCTGATTCGCCGACTCCAAGTACTCCAGGATCTGTGGATAAAAAGAGTAAGAGCAACATTCGCAGAATTTTGATGTTTTAGGTTGAGCAAAATTTCTGATCATTTAGTTTAAGCATCATCTTTCTCATCTTCTCAAAAAAAGTGTTTTGAAATTTTTGCAAGATTTGGATTGAGTAGAATTTCTAATTAATTTATTTTGAATTGCATTGCATTTTTTGTCATCTCTAAAACCACAAAAATTGATAAAAATACTATTGTCATATCAGATATGATCCTCGTAAAACCACCTTTCCTTGCTTTTTTACAAGTTTTGGAATGAGCAGAATTATTCATCACTTTAATTCAAACTGCATCGTATTCTTCATCATATAGAGTACAAATGCAGAATGAAAATTATGTTTGACATTTTGTCGACTCGATTTTTGCAGGATTTGGGTTCAGTACAATTTCTGATCAATTTATTTTAAGTTGCATCGCATTCTTTATCATCTCCAAGATGGCATATATGGTTAAAAATTCTTTTGACATATCCCATTTTAGAAAATTTTAGGTTGGGCAGAATTTCTGATCAACTTAGTTTGAACTGCATCGCATTCCTTATCAAAATTTTTGTGGCATTTCCAGTTTCTTGTTTCATTTTTGATTATTTTTAGAAGTTCCTATGAATAAAGTCCAAGTTGGTGGTGCGCCATCTCCGAATTTAAAAGAAGTAAAATCGAAGATTGGCTCCCTTCAAAATACCAGTTACAAACCAGGTGGGGGGCAGATTAAAATTGAGAATAAAAAAATTGATCTATCACCAATTTTCTAGTGATATGGCATAAATTACAAAATGTCAAAATTGAATGATTTCTCTTAATAAAATCAACTATAACCTAAGTACTAAAACTGATGGAGAAAGACTTTATGGACAAAAAATATTCCTAATGCTTGAAGAAATCATAATCCATAATTATTTCATATTTATCTATCATTGGCTTCTAGTGATGCAGCATAAATCACAAAATGTCAAAATTGGACGATTTTTCTTAATAAAATCAACTATAACACAAGTACTAAAACTGATGGAGAAAAACGTTATAGATAAAAAACATTCCTAATGCATCAATAAATCATAATCCATAATTATTTCATATTTATCTATCATCAGCTTCTAGTGATACAGCATAAATCACGAAATGTCAAAATTGGACGATTTTTCTTATAAAATCAACTATAACTCAAGTACTAAAACTGATGGAGAAAGACGGTATGGATAAAAAATATTCCTAATATATCAAGAAATCATAATCCATAATTATATCATATTTATCTATCACCAGTTTTCTAGTGATATCACATAAATCACAAAATGTCAAAATTGGACGATTTCTCTTAATAAAATCAACTATAACCTAAGTACTAAAACTGATGGAGAAAAACGTTATGGATAAAAAATATTCCTAATGCATCAATAAATCATAATCCACAATTATTTCATATTTATCTATCATTAGCTTCTAGTGATACACCATAAATCACGAAATGTCAAAATTGGACGATTTTTCTTATAAAATCAACTATAACTTAAGTACTAAAACTGATGGAGAAAGACGTTATGAATAAAAAATATTCCTAATGCATCAAGAAATCATAATCCATACTTATTTCATATTTATCTATCACCAGTTTCTAGTGATATAGCATAAATCACAAAATGTCAAAATTGGACGATTTTTCTTAATAAAATCAACTATAACGTAAGTACTAAAACTGATGGAGAAAGACGTTATGAATAAAAAATATTCCTAATGCATCAAGAAATCATAATCCATACTTATTTCATATTTATCTATCACCAGTTTCTAGTGATATAGCATAAATCACAAAATGTCAAAATTGGACGATTTTTCTTAATAAAATCAACTATAACGTAAGTACTAAAACTGATGGAGAAAGACGTTATGAATAAAAAATATTCCTAATGCATCAAGAAATCATAATCCATACTTATTTCATATTTATCTATCACCAGTTTCTAGTGATATAGCATAAATCACAAAATGTCAAAATTGGACGATTTTTCTTAATAAAATCAACTATAACGTAAGTACTAAAACTGATGGAGAAAGACGTTATGAATAAAAAATATTCCTAATGCATCAAGAAATCATAATCCATACTTATTTCATATTTATCTATCACCAGTTTCTAGTGATATAGCATAAATCACAAAATGTCAAAATTGGACGATTTTTCTTAATAAAATCAACTATAACACAAGTACTAAAACTGATGGAGAAAAACGTTATGGATAAAAAATATTCCTAATGCATCAATAAATCATAATCCATAATTATTTCATATTTATCTATCATTAGCTTCTAGTGATACAGCATAAATCACGAAATGTCAAAATTGGACGATTTTTCTTATAAAATCAACTATAACTCAAGTACTAAAACTGATGGAGAAAGACGGTATGGACAAAAAATATTCCTAATATATCAAGAAATCATAATCCATAATTATATCATATTTATCTATCACCAGTTTTCTAGTGATATAACATAAATCACAAAATGTCAAAATTGGACGATTTTTCTTAATAAAATCAACTATAACCTAAGTACTAAAACTGATGGAGAAAGACTTTATGGACAAAAAATATTCCTAATGCTTCAAGAAATCATAATCCATAATTATTTCATATTTATCTATCATTGGCTTCTAGTGATGCAGCATAAATCACAAAATGTCAAAATTGATCGATGTTTCTTGATAAAATCGACTATAACACAAGTACTAAAACTGATGGAGAAAAACGTTATGGATAAAAAATATTCCTAATGCATCAATAAATCACAATCCATAATTATATCATATTTATCTATCACCAGTTTTCTAGTGATATGACATAAATCACAAAATGTCAAAATTAGACGATTTTTCTTAATAAAATCAACTATAACCTAAGTACTAAAACTGATGGAGAAAGACTTTATGGACAAAAAATATTCCTAATGCTTCAAGAAATCATAATCCATAATTATTTCATATTTATCTATCATTGGCTTCTAGTGATGCAGCATAAATCACAAAATGTCAAAATTGATCGATGTTTCTTGATAAAATCAACTATAACACAAGTACTAAAACTGATGCAGAAAGACGTTATAGATAAAAAACATTCCTAATGCATCAATAAATCATAATCCATAATTATGTCATATTTATCTATCATCAGCTTCTAGTGATGCAGCATAAATTCCGAAATGTCAAAATTGGACAATTCTTCTTAATAAAATCAACTATAACTCAAGTACTAAAACTGATGGAGAAAGACGGTATGGATAAAAAATATTTCTAATATATCAAGAAATCATAATCCATAATTATATCATATTTATCTATCACCAGTTTTCTAGTGATCTGACATAAATCACAAAATGTCAAAATTGGACGATTTTTCTTAATAAAATCAACTATAGCCCAAGTACTAAAACTCATGGAGAAAAACGTTATAGATAAAAAACATTCCTAATGCATCAATAAATCATAATCCATAATTATTTCATATTTATCTATCATTAGCTTCTAGTGATGCAGCATAAATCACGAAATGTCAAAATTGGACGATTTTTCTTATAAAATCATCTATAACACAAGTACTAAAACTGATGGAGAAAGATTTTATGGACAAAAATATTCCTAATGCTTCAAGAAATCATAATCCATAATTATTTCATATTTATCTATCATTGGCTTCTAGTGGTGCAGCATAAATCACAAAATGTCAAAATTGATCGATGTTTCTTGATAAAATCAACTATAACACAAGTACTAAAACTGATGGAGAAAAACGTTATAGATAAAAAATATTCCTAATGCATCAATAAATCATAATCCATAATTATATCATATTTATCTATCACCAGTTTTCTAGTGATATGACATAAATCACAAAATGTCAAAATTGGACGATTTTTCTTAATAAAATCAACTATAACACAAGTACTAAAACTGATGGAGAAAAACGTTATGGATAAAAAATATTCCTAATGCATCAATAAATCATAATCCATAATTATTTCATATTTATCTATCATTAGCTTCTAGTGATACAGCATAAATCACGAAATGTCAAAATTGGACGATTTTTCTTATAAAATCAACTATAACTCAAGTACTAAAACTGATGGAGAAAGACGGTATGGATAAAAAATATTCCTAATATATCAAGAAATCATAATCCATAATTATATCATATTTATCTATCACCAGTTTTCTAGTGATATGACATAAATCACAAAATGTCAAAATTGGACGATTTCTCTTAATAAAATCAACTATAACTTAAGTACTAAAACTGATGGAGAAAGACGTTATGAACAAAAAATATTCCTAATATATCAAGAAATCATAATCCATAATTATATCATATTTATCTATCACCAGTTTTCTAGTGATATGACATAAATCACAAAATGTCAAAATTGGACGATTTCTCTTAATAAAATCAACTATAACTTAAGTACTAAAACTGATGGAGAAAGACGTTATGAACAAAAAATATTCCTAATATATCAAGCAATCATAATCCATAATTATATCATATTTATCTATCACCAGTTTTCTAGTGATATAACATAAATCACAAAATGTCAAAATTGGACGATTTTTCTTAATAAAATCAACTATAACACAAGTACTAAAACTGATGGAGAAAAACGTTATAGATAAAAAATATTCCTAATGCATCAATAAATCATAATCCATAATTATTTCATATTTATCTATCATCAGCTTCTAGTGATGCAGCATAAATCACGAAATGTCAAAATTGGACAATTTTTCTTAATAAAATCAACTATAACACAAGTACTAAAACTGATGGAGAAAAACGTTATAGATAAAAAATATTCCTAATGCATCAATAAGTCATAATCCATAATTATTTCATATTTATCTATCATTAGCTTCTAGTGATGCAGCATAAATCACAAAATGTCAAAATTGGACGATTTTTCTGAATAAAATCTATAACCTAAGTACTAAAACTGATGGAGAAGATTTTATGAACAAAAAATATTCCTAATGCATCAAGAAATCATTATACAATAGTATTCAATGTATACCATACTTAATCTGTAGCTGTATGTAATACTAGTTTGGGTACAGTAGTTGTACTCAGTAACTGTTACAATTAAAACCTGGGCTAGTACCTATTTATTTTTTAAATTTATGAACTATTCCAAGAAACAACATACAAATACTTGTTCCAAAGTATCAGATACAAGTCTCGATTAACGCCTCTAATACCAACCCACTTATCGATTATGTACATAAAAGTTTTTTACGAAATCAATTAATTTAATTCAAACTGCATCGTATTCTTCATCATCTAGAGCAGCAAATGCAGAATAAAAATTATGTTTGACATCTTGTATTTCCCAAAAAATCGAGTCGATTTTTGCAAGATTTGGGTTTAGCATGGTTAAAAATTCTTTTGACATATCCCATTTTTGAAAATTTTAGGTTGGGCAGAAATTCTGATTAACTTAATTTGAACTGCATCGCATTCTTTATCAAAATTTTTGCGGCATTTCCAGTTTCTTGTTTCATTTTTGATTATTTTTGTTTTGTTTTTAGAAGTTCCTATGAATAAAGTCCAAGTTGGTGGTGCGCCATCTCCGAATTTAAAAGAAGTAAAATCGAAGATTGGCTCCCTTCAAAATACCAGTTACAAACCAGGTGGGGGGCAGATTAAAATTGAGAATAAAAAAATTGATCTATCAAAGGCCCATTCGAAAATAGCGGCTAAAAACGATACTTATGTTCCAGGAGGTGGTGAAAAGAAGGTACGTCGAAACGAAACTTTAAAAGAATAATAATAAGGAGAAATCTGGTAAAAAAAGTTATTTTTAAAAGCACTTAATAAGCTTATTGTTAGATACAAAACACTTCTTTAATAAATTCTTATTAATGTTAATGATTGTTGATTTTAGTTGATTTTTATTTGTGCAGATTGAGCATCGAAAATTGAATTGGAACGCATCGTCGAAGATCGGATCTTTGGATAATACAACTCATAAGCCGAAAGGGGGCGATAAAAAGATCGAATCGATGAAATTGGATTTCAAAGACAAGGCAAAACCAAAAGTAGGTTCCAAAGACAATATGAAATACCAACCGGGTGGTGGTGATGTTAAGGTAATTATTTGAACCGGAAGCTCCTCAATAAAAACGAGCTCTAAAAGAAATCATTTTTTCTGAGATGAAGCATGCGGAATGCTGAAAGAAATAAAACTAACATCAACCATAACCTAATTTAAACCATAGATATAATTTTTTTATTGGTTATGAATGATTTTTTTTTTGTAAAATTAAATGTGTGCATGTGTAACAATTTGGTTAAATATAGTTTTGTTTAACAAATTCGTTTAGACTGCTTGTGAGAAGGTCAACAAAAAATTGGATTCGGTTAGACGCGAAGAAGTAAGTTTTGTTTTATTTTTAATGTAAAAATTGCACTCATTAAAACATTTTTGCACGATTTTGGTGAATTTTAATGTTAACGTCTTGAATTTATTTGCAAAATTATTGTGAAAAGTATTTCATCGAAAACTTCTAGTATTCAATTTTCTGGCAGATGTGGAAAATATCTCCAGGCTGATTCTGTCAAAATTTCCAAGGCCAAATCTGGCACAGTTTTTGGAAATGGCCTATTATATTAAGTAGGTAGAGTCGGTTGTTGCAAAAAACGCTAAATAACTTAATGTTGTTTGGCATTCCTAAATAAAGAGATGAGGATCTTGCTCTTACAATAAGCCTCATAGATACACGGTTGAAAATCATTGATGTTTCTTGCTCAGGTTTAGGACACACAATACAGTGCGAACACCACATAGATAAAAAAGCGCCAGAATTAATTCCACGTCGATACAAGATTAGAAATAATTTTATCATAACAATTAAGCTACAAAATAGGTCATTTTGCGTCGGTCAGAAAGATAAATAAACGGTCAGAGTGACTTTCTGCTCTGGATTTTGGATTCATTAGGGTCCTTCCAGCCATTTTACCTTGGAGGCAAAGGCTAGAATTTGTCCTCGTTCCACTCATGCGAATCTGGATATCTCCAAAAATGAATAACCTTAATGTTCGGAGTGCCACGGAGATTCCTCCTCCTCACCGCATCCTCTGCAGATGTCGGTGTTACTTATTCTCATGTTCATTAAGTGCTTCTGTAGATGCCAGTGTCCAGTGATTAGACCTATGCCCAAACGTAGGTTCTTTCTGGACAACCTCATAAATAAATCTGTTCGTTTTGGTTAAGTGTACATCAGAGCCTCCTTGGCTTGGCGACATCTTGGTGTCCTGTTCCAGTAGTTTAAAAACTTCTTACGTGTTTCCTCTTTTTGAAGCTCTATTAAAGACCTTATTGTAAGCTTATTTCCCGAATGACCCTTTGTTCAGCAGATCGTAATCTCATTGCTAGCGGCTGCCTCACAAAGATTGTTATGGCAGTCCTCAAGCAACGAGGATGAACTGCAATCCGAATATATTATAATTTTTTTGTAACTAATTTTACTTTAATTTTTGTTACAGTTTACGGCGCTGTAAGTTAACATTGCAGGGTATATCCACAGGGATATTTTGGGTGTTAAACCCCAGGAGGTTCCAACGATCTTTCTGCACTGAGCGAACCTTATTTATCTTACCTTCCATGTGCAGTCTCCAAGTCAGTGTTTTATCCAGGGTTAACCCTAGCGCAAGGGAACTTTGCAAAATCAGGGCGCTCCCAGCCTTTTTTTCCTTGTGAAGAGGACCATCTCTGTTTTATTCGTTGTCTCGACACCAGCGTTCGATAATTCTCAGTCAAGCCTGCATTCGGTCACATAGGACGTTTTCGAACTTCCCGTGAACCAAAACGGCTAGATCGTCTGCGTAAGCACAAACATTGAATTTTTCAGCAGAGAGTTGTCTTACAAGGCTGTCCAGGGTGAGATTCCACAGCAGGGGTGGAATCTCTTCTTTTATTGTCGGTATTATTATCGTTATTAGCATCAATTACACTATGGACCTCATTGGTCTATATGATTTTGGATTAGTGTAATCTCTCCTCCCAAGCTTGGGGATGAAGACTACCTTTACTTCTCTCCAGGATAAGGGAACATAGCGGAATGCTAAACACCCTTTGTATATTTTTAGTATGTGTAGTAGTAATTCCGCCATACACCACTCCGGCAGATTTAAATGGTGAGAAGAACTGTATGGCCCAGCCAACTCTGGTTTCAGTCACCACAAGATTGGCTCGACCTTTGGATTCCATACAGGTTCTTCTTCCCATATCCGGTTCTTGGTAAAGGTACACCCTGAAAAATGAGAGGTCATTATTGCAGTCCAAGTCTTTTAGGATTCTTATAGTCTCCTGTGAGTCATTGATGAACACCTTTGCTAGCCTCAATAGACGGTGTGTCCTCAATATCTTCACAGATTTTTTGCCAAGCTAATTTCTTCCTCTGTCTTAAAGTTTTTTTATGATTTATAATTCTTTTCTCGATTTTTTTGCTTTGTTAAATGTTTTTACTACCTGCCTTTTGAGGTGTACTAGCTCAGTGTTCCACCACGAATAGGATTTCTTATATGATCTTATGATGTGGCGATTGATCAAGGAAATATGTAGTATCCAACCCTTCCACCCCATCAAAATTATCTATCTTTATGGTATCCATCGCCTCCGAGATAAGTATTTAACCCTATCCCTACCCCAATCCTCCTTTTCACTTCTTTCCACTAGACGCTAAGTCCTCTGTTGGAAGGCCTGCATCTTCAGGAAGATAGACAGACGCTATTGTTATTGTTTTCGTAGTTCCCTTTACCGTAGCTACATCACTGATTGCCAGTTGAGGTAACAGGTGTGCCTTTATGCTTCTTGGTACGTAGATCATTTGATGGTTTGCTAAAAATAAACCCGTTTCCGCAAGGAAATAATAAAAACTCATAGAAAAATTAGATAAAATTTAAAAGTTAAAGGCACACATAGACAGCTATGCTGTCCATCCACGCCAAAATCTCAATGCTCTTTTAAATCAGTTCAGGGGCAGCACAATCAGGTGCCGTGTACCTTCAGTGATGACCCTATAACACAAACAGGCCTTGTGGATGTATCTGCGAGATTTCATGTTCAGCCATTTAAACTGCTTAAAACCAAAAAAACATGATCATATTTCCTCAAGCAAAAAATGAAACGAATGCACGAGTTTTGAAGCTTTTGAATTTTTCCCTGATGCCTGGAATCCAGAAAAGCCCCGTATATGCTGTCACAGTAATTGAAGTGTGACAATACCAGAGAGTTGCATAAAATTTTTTTTGTGCCAGGCGATTAGAGTAAATCAATTTTAACGCTCGACTTATCAACTGATTAGTGTGTTCCCTAAAGCTCAACGCCTCATCCATGACCAGTCCGAGGTTCTTGACAGACTTACTCAATGGAATCGGAGTATCTCCTATCGACAGGCGATAAAATCCGTTAATACATTTCTCTTTTAACTTCGGGGGCCCAAACAAAATGATCTGGGTCTTATTAGTGTTTATCTTAATGCCATGCATGTCACGCTTGAACTTATTGAAGCTTTCATCAAACTGACCTTTAGAAAAGGACAGATCAATCTGAGTATCATCTGCCTTTAAGGTAATTTTTGAAAAAAGCTAATGAGACAGAATCAAGCCTGATATGGTCAAGAATTTATTACCAGAACGTCCGTGGTCTTCGTTCCAAGACGACCACTTCCTCAATTAATTCATACGCCTTATCGTCGGATATTACCTGGCTAACCGAAACCTTTCTCAACAGTACTATATCTGACAGGGAGCTGCTCAATTCATCATATTCTATACATCGCTTATTCTGGAAATATAAGAAATTTCTTGAATAGGGGAGCATGCACGCCTTACCCAGAGAACGCTTTCCTCTTTGGTACAAACGCTCTACCATTAGAGTTGTTAAAGAGAAGCTACGTTTTCACAAAAAATGGAAATTCTCAGGTCATCACAATGATTACTTGAATTCGAAAAAGGGTTCTGCGTCTGGCATGCCAGCATCCATGATTTCTGCTGATGGATCGACTGTGAACTCGGGTCCTGATATCTCATCTGCGTTTGGAGAGTACTTCTCGTCGGTTTTTGTAGATGGCATCATCGATCGTTCAGCGATTCCCGGTGGCGCGGGTGTTTCACCTTGGTTTTCTGCGGTTCTTAACATTCTGTCACATCTTGACAAGTCATCTAGCCCAGGTCCAGATGGTATTCCTTCGCCCTTCCTAAAGGAGTTTGCTAGTGAACTGTCTTCACCCCTGTTTTTAATTTTTTCGAAGACATTTCCTACCAAGTGGAAGACGGCTTTCGTCGTCCCAATTTTTATATTCGGCGACAAGCAGTTGGTTTCAAATTACCGCCCGATTTCTATTCTCTCGGCTATTCCCAAGGTTTTTGAGAAAATTGTCCAGGAATATTTTAGCCAGTCGATTACTCACTCTTTTATTCATGAACAACACGGTTTCTTGTCCGGACGATCAACTGAGGCTAATTTGGTATCCTACGTTAATTTTATTCATTCTGCCCTAAATGAAAATTCTCAAGTCGATGCTATTTACACAGATTATTCTAAAGCTTTCGACAAGATTGACCATACAATTCTTGTTCAAAAACTCTCTTCCTTTAACATCCCAAATGGCATTGTTCACTGGATTATATCATATTTATCAGATAGAAGTCAGGCAGTCAAGGTTGGTAGCTTTCTATCCGGTTATAAGTCCATCTCTTCCGGTGTGCCTCAAGGCAGCCATCTTGGACCAACATTATTTTTAATTTATATTAATGATATTGCTTCCTGCTTTAAGTTTTCCAAATTCCTGCTGTATGCAGATGATAATAGAGCTATTGCGTCCATTGACAGAGTGAAGGATCTTGGTATTACTCTTGATTCCAAACTGCGATTCCACCTTCATATCGACCTTATGGTGAAAAAAGCATTACGTAACTTGGGGTTCGTTATCAGAATAAGCAGAAATTTCACCAATGTTACCTGTATAAAGTCCCTTTATATGGCATTTGTAAACAGTGTATTAAGCTATGGTTCTGTGGTGTGGAGTCCCATGTACGCTGTCTATCGTGATCGCATCGAAGCCATTCAACGTCGCTTTATTCGTCACTTGGCGTATAAATATTATCTTCCGTACTGCGATTACGACAGACGCTGTATGGTTTTCAACCTATTGCCTCTAAGGCAACGGCGACTCTTGTCTGACCTGGTATTTCTTTTCAAAATTGTTAACGGCATGCTGGATGTCCATTGGAGTCAGTTGCAATATATATCATCCACTATATTGTTCAGAGCAGTTTCACAGCTATGTCCTTCTCTGAAACCAGACTGATTCACTGGAACAATGCGCTCAATCTTCAGAAACTCCGTCAATTGTTTAACTATCTTTTCCAA